GATAGATAGATAGATAGATAGATAGATAGATAGATAGATAGATAGATAGATAGATAGATAGATAGATAGATAGATAGATAGATAGATAGCACAGAGTCAGCCATTCTTCTGGTGCCCTCAAAGCAGTTTTTGTGTTTAAGGGCCGTAAAGTGACATGATTACTCTGCCAGCCAGGGGATTTTAAAATAAAGAAACAGTCTTACAGGAGCATTATATGCACTGCATCTGGTGGTTGAAATAACAACAGATTTATAACACCCACAGTCTTTTGTAGGCACAGAGTTTGATATTCCCTTCAGATGTTTCACAATACTGTGATGAAAAATATAAAAACAAACACCCAGCATTTGCCAAGTTTAGCATGCGTGCTGTTTTATTTGGTCGCTGATGCTTAGAACTATGTTGAGAAATACATATTTGCCGCATAATCCCTCTCAACGCTTCTGCAAGTTTACAGAGACGACAAATGTTGCCTATTTTTACCGTTTCGCAGACCAGACTGCAGTAAAGACCCCTGAGAGGGAGCATACCCAACCTATGATCCCCTCGAAATCACTGAACAAATACCGCCAGCTTTGCTACAGGAAAAACAGCAACTGTGACCTACCAATAGCCATTCAGAAGTGGAGCCGCAATCACATGCATTCTAAATTTAAAAAAAGGAGTAAATAATGAATTCTGGAAAGACAAACTCAGTGATTTACAAACCAGAATTAACATTGCGTACTGCTTAAGACCAGCTGTCTATAATTCTGAATTCTGCTGTCAAGCATGTTGAAAGGGGACAAAAATGCTGATTGGAACATGGAGAAAGCTTGTCGGGTCTAACAGAAGCAGCAAAACCATCCTACACACTGCCTTCTCCACCCCACAGCCTCGACACCACACTGATTCCGCTCAGTCAGTTTAATGCATTCTCTGTTATATCAGTAAGGCTTTCACCATCTTTCTCTGCTGAAGGCCCTTTGGAAAGTGAATGGTGAGAGAAATAACCTCTGTATTGATTCACGGCTTGTCTCTGCTGTGCCTATGAGCAGACTCCGTAGGCATCAAATTATATCTGAGGAAACATTCCATCTTTCATTCCAGCTTCTGAATTCAGCCAGTATTTGACGAGAGCTGAGAAATGTGCTTGTTAAATAAGACAAAAACCATCTTTTCTACTGTATGGTCTACATCAGTGTTTCCCAACCCGGTCCATGGGGACCACCAGACAGTCCACATTTTTGCTCCCTCCCAGCTCCTGAAGCACAAACATGGACTGTCTGGCAGGGAACCAGGAAGGAGCAAAAATGCGGACCGTCTGGCGGTCCCCATGGACTGGGTTGGGAAACACTATACTGCATGTCTGTTTAACATTTATATTAACCTTATTTGGCTGAAAAAACAAACCAGGATTTAAATTTACATTTAGATTAGTGTAGTGTTTTGGGGCCCCTCTATAAACACCACATGAAAAAGGACTTTGAAATAATTAAAGCACAATTACAAGCGCAGCTACTAAGGTGACTCATATTTGGTTGAATGCCAATTAACAGTATGTGTCAGATAGGAAAGTAGCCTGACAATCTGCACTTTATTGTGAGTTTTCTAAGCAACATGAAGAAACTAATGGAGACCAAGAGGCCTTAACGTCATTGCCCCAAACGGCATCACTGAAAAACCGCAACGTCACTTAACATGTCAAGGGGAAGAGTGTGAGGAATCACGATGGGTTTGCCAAACACAGACAAGCTACACCAGCAGAGAGGAACAGTGGTCACAAGTCAAAGCTCACTGATAGATGAACAGAATATCTGTAAAACACCAAAATAGCATAACGCATCTGTAATCCAGTCTGGCCCAAAACTGTACATCATGAGTTTCACAAGGCCTCACAGAGCTAGAATTTATGGCAATACTGCCACTTGGAAACCTTTCGTATCGAAGGCCAACACACAAGGATGCATAATGTTGTGTGAGAAGCATAAATACTCAACCTTGAGCAATGAAAAAAGTATTTCAGTACAGTCTAATATGTCATCTTTCAATACCTTATGAGAAAATAAAGTATGCCTTCCACAATGTCTATTGTAAGGGCAGCCATCTTGTGGGAGTATATAGGTTCATTTCAATGGGCCAGGTCTACCATTCTGTGTAAACACTGTTCCCTCACTATGTTCTCATATTCAAAGATGATAATCACTCACAGCTACGCAACATCACACACTAGCAGATCACCTGAATAAACAAACTCGCATGACCCTACAAGCCACATAAACACTCAGACCTGGAACGATATTTAAAAGCAAAGCAAAGTGTCAGCGTTAGCTATCAAGACACCTAGTATCACAGTTTACTAGATATATAGGTTATTAGTAATTGATAACAGCCATCTGCATGTGCTATAGGGGAAAGGCAGGACTGTTTTCACCACTCAGGCTTGGGAGGTTAGCCTAAGTAAGAGTCCATGGTCCTGTAGCTGGGAGGCGAACCCACCACCTACTGGGTCGCTGTGCTGATTTCCCTGCTGAGCCCCTCTTCTGCCTCAGTGTGCTGTGGTTTTATTTCTGTTCCTTGGTTTAAGTCACAGGCCAAAGGCAGTACTCCACCGGGTGGCCCTTGAAATAGCACATAGTTGATTTTAACACCTCCAACTGATACTCGAGATGCTGGGCTGTGTGGGAATCGGATGGTGATTAGCAATGCCATGCCAGATGTTGGCACCGGAAGGCCCTGTTTCTCCTCAGCTTGCTGACATTGAGGAGTTCAGTAGGTGAAGATTACATCATCATCCATGAAAGTTTTGTGTAATCGATGCTTCTGATTAACGGCATCACTAAATATAATGAAATAATTTGAAATGAAATATTAACCAAATTGCATACATGAGTGGTGTCATTATGTTTCAAAGGATTTGATATGGAAGAAAACATATTATGGAATAATTAGACATGAGTTCGCAAAAAAATTGCCAGACTAGGGGAGCACTGCGTGGTAATCATACCGGAGATGAGATCACCTTGTTCCTTTTAAGATCATCCTGTTCCTTTCATTTGAAACAAAAAGAACAAAACTCAGTCCCAGTAATGGCCATTTAATGCTCTACTTTGGGAATCTAATTAGAGGTCGTCAGGTGCCCCGTGAGGCTAGTAGACACCCACCCCAAGTCCATTCTCAAATGCTTTGTTAATTACCATGGAAGTCTGATGTTTTCCATGACACAATGCTAGAGATTTCTACATCAAGGGTTAAACCACCCTTTTGGTAGTTGGGCTGATGCCGGATATACGATGATTTGTTTTGAAGTCATCCACTTTGAAGCTTTATATTTCGGTGCATCCAATCCAATTATTCTTCTATGCTTTCTACCCACCTCATCTCTGCCGAATATCTATTATGCCCTCAAAATCATTTTAAAAAGATGACGGAGACTGGATTAGTGAGGTTAGCAGGTTAGCATTAACACATCCTAAAAACACCAGTCCGATTTTGGACATATTCCCTCGCGGAAGCCTTTGCGGGTGCAGAGCACTTCTGCGAAATGCCACGTGTGCATTCTTGACGTTACCGAGCCGTGATTCACCAGCAGGCCTTTTTTCTGTGGCAGGGGAGCGAACGAGCCGGAAGCCGCGGAGCTAACGACCCGCTGGCGTGTCATCGCTTGCACCAGAGATAATTAGTAAGCTGGCTTGTCATGTCATGCTAAGCTAGTGAGCTGCGCAGTGCCTCCTCATGCAGTTATAAACTGCCTCACATACACCCGCTTGTAATTAAATTCCCTCATATTTCATAAACAGTTAAGCTACTGCTGTGAGTTGATACTCATTAGTTACTTCAATTAATGCTGTTTTGACATTAATGGGAATTCTATGAGCTAATCCTTATTAGTCCTTGTTACTCTACCAGTTAATTAGCAGTGACCAAGTCCTTCGTTACTTGTCAAGGTTTAAACAGACTATGCAGTAGCACTGTCTGCAGTACGATATGGAGTAATGTAACAGAACGGTCTTTCCAGTAGCTTGCCTGGATCATGATGTAACTCTTTTGTGTTCAGCCTTTTCTATAAATGGGGGGGTGTTCTTCCTACACAAATGCTCAAAGACTTTCTCTTGACAGTCCCTAGAGCAAGTACCATCTTTCAGCAATTAGCCAACAATTTTTGTTTGGCCAACATTGTTCTGAAGAAAGGAACAGCAATTCTAAATATGAGACGATTTTCTGAGTCCCTCCTGCTGTTGCATGATTAGCTGCTGATGTAGCCCACTAGTTTAAGGTGTCTATCCAACATGATATTCATCCAAATCAACATGCACCTTTCAGCCACACAAGTATAAGCCTCAGACAGGGACTCATGCCAGATGAATTATTGCAGCCGTTTCAGGTTTCGGCTGTCAGACTGTGGCATATGTCATTCTCGGCAGCGCACTTTGGCCAGGATGCTTCACAAAACATGCTTAACGCTAACAAGCTGTACCGGAATTAGTCACACATTTAACAGCACACCATCAAGTTTGCCTACCATTGCCTCACCTTTCAAAGACTGAATTTTAGACCTGCAACTGACAAGGACACTTCTGACATTAGTAAGGCAAGGAACTCCTTTAATATGCCACGACACAGAGAAAGCCTGCTTCTTTGGGTATGAGCAAGCATTATCATCTTTAAAAACATAAATAACCTCTGCCGCATTTTACATAAAACTACATATTTGACTACAGTGATACTCCATCCATCCATTTTACGTAACTGCTAATACTACTCAGAGTCGCATCCCAGAAGCTACGGGCGCAAGGCAGGAAGCAACCAAGAATGAGGGGCCACTCCATCGCAGGGCACACAGTGATACTCACTGTCTATAATTCTTTCTTATCTCTGTTAGGAGAAGCAGATATTTTCAAATGTAATATAAGACCTTTCAGCGTTTATCATCATTAGGGCAAAGGGGAGGAAATGACCAATATCACAGCATTGCCAGAAGGAAATTTTGGAGCAAACTGGAAATAACTGATAACGAAAGCTTCACCGACTCCCTGACACAGAGGGCAAATACACAAACCAAAACCGAAGATGTGCAAAAGCAGCCTCACATTTGGCATCCGCTGTACGTGCTTCTATTGACAGTGCCTGAAAAAATAAAAATAAAAAATGGAAGACATTCCATTTTTGGCTAAACTTGATTTGATTTGATTGATTTTGATTACACAGATGATACTAGGCAGATCGCAGTCACAAGGGCGTTAAAACTACACCTTTGCATTTCTATTTTTCAAGCCCTCTTTAAACAGGTGAGTCCAGAAAATTATTCTAAATTGTTCAATTTCCCAGCAGCTGCTAGTTTATAAAAAACACATCGAATGAAACTGATTTCTCCTGCTGGACAATCCACCGCTCGACACGAAACACGTGGCACAGAGAAGCTGTATTTGATTACAGATTAGGATTTCTGTAGTTCTATGGAAAGAAGTGGAATTCACAAAAGCAGTTTTTGTGTAAATGTTACCTCTACCTCCCCCCAGAGACCCTAGCCTGCAACAGTGACAGATTGTACTAGGAGGTGTGGAGAGGAAACTCACGTTGTAGAGCACGTTGGTCCACCCCTCCATGGTGATGCACTGGAAGACCGTCAACACAGAGAACAAGATGTTGTCGAACTGGGTGATGCCATCATTGGGCCCGATCCAGGGTCCAGTGCAGGTATAGCTTTCGGGACATTTCCTCTCCCCGCACGGGAACTCAAACTCCAGCGTTTCGTTTCCTGGAAGAGTCCGACAGGTAAGGCAACCTTTTGGTGATTTAAATTTACCAAACATCTGAATGTCAAGGCACATTAATGATATAGATCAGTGTGTCCCATTCTGGTCCTCGGGAACCCACAGACAGCACACAGGCACAGACAATTTTGTTCAGGAGCTGGGAGGCAGCAAAAATGTGGACAGTCTGGCAGGGAGCTCGGAAGGAGCAAAAATGAGGACTGATTGGGAAACACTGATATAGATAATATTCTGGCAAACATAACTAATTATTATAGTACTGTAATAAACTTTTAAGCTACAGCTTATGGCCAATATTTAGACCTGCCCTGTATGTTGTCACAGTAGATTTGAGCAGAATATGTGACACAGATGGTTTTAGTGATAATACACAGAACTTTCATGATGGACTGAAAAACACCTTGAGACACGTTTTGGTTTGTGGAGACCTTGGTCTGCAATGGATATTGGCTCGTGCACAAAAGGATCTTTTGTTGTAAACTACTGCTTCCCTGAGAAATGACACCAAATATGTGCTCAGGTGTTGCTCACACTGGCTGTATGATTGTCAGAAAAGCCCGGAGAGCTGAAGTCGAACCAAAAACCTCTGCCAAAGGAACCAGGGGCGTCAACTGAGCACGTAATTCATGCCAGATGACATTTAAATAGGGACGTTATTTCATTATTTTGCCTGTGATGATTTATTTACCTTCACCGACATATTCAGAGGGGACATCTCTTGGTCTACTCACTGATTGCAAAATGCCTTTCAAAGGTTTGGATTTCATCATATCTTTCGTTCTTTTCGCTGTGTACTAGGTTATGTGAGTAATTAACACTTATCCAGCTATATTCAGTCTACACCTGCTTATCCAGTACAGGACTGTATACTGTATTTTTTCATATATAACATTTGCTTGGATTATATATCAATCTGCTAATGGCTCTTTTGTGTCATTGTCTTTAGAGCTGAAATGTCTCCCAGCGGGTAAGAACCTCAGCCAGCGCCGAAGGCTTGCATCAGCTATTACACTTTTTGATCAAAACAATTACATGTAGAGCCAGTGCTGCCCTGCGGATAAACTCAGGAAGCAACACCGAGGAATTAATTAACACGCACAAGTATAAATACACACCCAGACTCATACAAGCACCAGCGTGAGCAGATACGTGTATATAGATTTATATTGTTTGCAACCAATACATTTCAGAACCATGAATAATATAACTACTGTACAGTTAATATAACTACAATAAACAGCCATTATAATTTAATCACAGAAATAATAAATGTTAAACATATTTAAACAATGAAGCACTTCCAGGGCGCTCCTGCAGGGTGCAGAATCTCTCCTGCTTCCTTACTGGTGACATTTTCCAAGACCACGCAGGTGAAATGCAGTTTCCCACTGTAGAACTCCAGGCCGATGATGGCGAACATGAGGATGGCGAAGAAGAGCAGCAGGCCGATTTGCAGCAAGGGCACCATGGCCTTCATGATGGACTTCAGGACTATCTGAAGGCCTGGTGACACACGGAGGAGCAGAGAAACAGGGGGACCACATTCAAACTGCTCTCCCATGACGCCTCCAGCTGACCAGGTCTCCGTGAAAAAGTTTACAGAAATGGAGAAATGTAACTGTAGTAACAGTTTAGAGATACAAGAACAAGGTAATTCCACAGTTTCTAAGTAATGTCAAGATATACTGAACACCCAAATGCCCTGACTGACTTTGCTTGGTATTTGCTTGGTCAAGAAACTAAAATTATAACCAGATTTCTGGTTCCAGTTTTTTCTTGTTCTTGATTTATGTGACTATTGTCAAAGCACCCAGATGATTGTGTGATGATGATAGTGTTGATGACCAACTTTGGACTGAGAAATGGTATTTTTAGTGTCCTTTAGTATCCTGAGACACTTTTGGGTCTCACCCACCCTGATCCCCACCGGGTTCTCGTTGGAGCTGTCAGTTCCTCTGTGGGGAACAAACTTGTCTTGTCAAGACAATGGATTTGTTGTTTTGCCCCTTCAATAAAAACTCAAAACTGTGTAAAATTAGCTGCTTCTGCAACACTGTATGCAGCCAATTTGTGTTATGGTATTTAAATATGAACACATTCATTACGGTATTCAATATTTTTATATAAAACACTCTATAATATCATTAATTTTTTGTGCGTGTTTATTAGCATGTTTAGCACGTTTAGTAGCTTATAATTTTTTTTTTAAATACATACAGTACTACTGTTCTCATATGTGCTGACTTGTATGACACTTAAAAAATAAGTAAAAGCAATTACGAATTAAATACTTTTTAAAATATTGCCACATTTTGCCCAAGAACACAGAACTGACAAGTGTGGGTGACCAATAAGATACTCACTGGGAATGCCAGAGACCAGTTTGAGGGGCCTCAGTACACGCACGGCCCTCAGCGTCCGCAGATCAACAGGGATGTTCATGTGAGCTCCAGCTGCGGCAAGAATCCTGCATGAGACACAGAGTGACAGTATTCATGCATGAAACACGCCTTTAAAACTTCAGTATAACAACGTAACAACCATTTATCCAGTACTGAGTCCCAGTGAGCCTGAACCTTATCCCAAACCTCACACGACACAAGGCAAGGGAATAACTGTCAGGATCAGTCCCTGCTTCGTCCTGTACCAGAGCATGTGAGCGGAGCGGAGCGGTCCGAATTTAGTCAGAGCGCGGAGCGGTATATTTAAATTAAGGCTGGAGCGGTCGCTCTGTCTCGCTCCAATTTCGCTCCGATACCGCTCACACTACGATTCTGAGGCGTGCCCAAATCTACCCAGAATTCATCTGTACAATTATCAAGACTATTACACAAATTGGCCGAGAAGGAATTCGCAAAGTATTTCACAAAGGAAACTGATAGATCAGACAAGCAGTGCTTGAAGTGGGCCGGAACACAGTTCCGGAACTTCTGTATTTTCGTCTTTTGGGTTCCGCCACTTTTTTCTGCGTTCCGGTACTTACTGAAACTGATCCGACGCAGCGACAGTGGCCCGAGAAAATTAGAGTTCCTGCACTTATTTTTTCCCACTTCAAGCACTGCATACAAGTGTAATATTTTTATCAAACGTATAGATGATAATAATGTACAGCAAGAATAACAAGGTGGTGAAACTGTTTCAGTGAGTAAAGATTCACTTTGGAATCATTTTTCTCAGAAACACGAGAGTGTTTTATGCGAACAGACGGAAGCCAGAGCAAAACGTGAGCAAGTTTTATATGGTTGTAGTATATCAAGTCTATTAAATTAAAGTATAAAAGCCTATATTGGTAAATATTGGTAATCAAATAAATTCGTTTTGTCATTCAAAGTAGGTCTAATAGGATTTTTTAAATTTCACGTAACGCAGTGAAATTTTATTTTATAGAGACGCAGCAGCAGCAGCATCTACAGAAAAAATTGAGAAATTTAAAACGTAGATGCTTAGCCTGTATATTCTTTAGACTATTAAGACCATTGAATCCTTTATTTTTAAGCCTATTTTTGTGTGGAATGCCATTGCCAAACGTGTCCGTTGTTGCCTATATATGTTGCTTAAAAATAAATATTTTCTGAGTGCCAATGTTGCCGTTGCTCATATTTCTTTATGATATAAGACTTCGGTTTAAGGTGACATTTGTTAGGCATGCAGATTATTTGTCCCTCTTTAAAATTGGAGCGAGCGTGGAGCGATTTGACTGGAGCGGGAGGAAATTTTAGTGGAGCGGGGATCGGTGTTGAGCGGAGCGGCGTAGTGCGAATTACAGCGGAGGAGCGGGCGGAGCCAACAGCCTAGTGAGCGAGGAGCGGAAATTCTCACCGCTCCACTCCGCTCACATGCTCTGTCCTGTTCTGTCCAGCCTTTCCCCATTTGGCCAGCAGGTGTCACTAGATATCCCGTTCTTTTCTGTTTGTCCTGGGTTTAGCACCTCTCACAGTGCCTATTGTTTTACTCTACTCACCAGGCTGCCATGTGGCTGAATAGACTGTGTGTGAAACTGAACTCTGTGCATTCCTAACTGTCTTGGGTTTGAGGATGGCCAGGGGCGGGCTTCAACTATACTGGATATTTCATCTTTTATTTTAACTGAAGGTTAATTACCTTGTGTTCATTTATTTCAGTATTGGTGTTTGCTTCTGTGTCTTGGTTCTTATTTGTTCCTGCCTGTGCCTAGTTTTATAGGCTATTTTCCTTGTAACTCCTGGTGTTTGAGTCCGTAGTGCTTCTTTATGACCCTGTCCTTTTTCCTATAGCTCCTAGTGCCTAGTATGTGCAGGTGTACTGTAATAGCCCACACCTGTCCCGTGTTGAAGACCTGGTTCTTGGGGTATTTTTGTGCTTTCCCCTGTCCTGTCCCTTGTCAGCTATTGCAAGGAATTTGCTGTTAGGGTGCATTTATCCTCAACACTTCACTTACTCATGGCCATCACGCTTATCCTGTGTTCATTCCATGCATTGTAAATGCGACTACATGCTACATGACCCCCTTCTAAGTCCGTGTTCTTACACTGTGATTCCGTATCTTCAGCTTTTGTCCTTGGTAGTTTTTGTGTTGCCTTCCTGCCTTTGTTTAGTCCCTTTTGTTTCTTGTTCCTTTTAGTTTTGTTTTATAATAATGTTCCATGTTTCTGGAAGCCATCTAGTGGATTGTCATTAATCAGTCTCTGTCAGGGCTCTCAAGCTTCATTAGAAGTTTGTAGTGAGATTACATCTGGGGCGGACCGTATTTGTCATGGCCAATGCATGAGATCTGAGGGACCTGCCTACCACATTCATCGGATCCTGGTCTTCGACTTTGTCGGCACTCTGTGTGTGTACACATCCATGTAAAAACGTGCTTGCAGCAGGATCACATATGCCTTATTTTGGAATTTACCCAGAAACAACAAACACTATTTTCTGATTGGCTGGTAGGTAGCTAATAACATGCTTGCAGCAAGATCACATGTACCTTATTTTGGAATTAACCCGGAAACAACAAATGCTATTTTCTGATTGGCTGGTAGGTAGCTATTAACTCTGTATAACTGGGACAGCTATGAACTTGACCGCAAACTCTGTATGCCTGCGCATCCTCCATTGAATCTATATAAGGGGACACCCTAGGGGGCGTTATCCCTTACTTCTCAGCATGAGAAACACAAGGTGTGGCATGTGAACTGGTTGAAATGCATGTGTCTCTTGGTCAGTGTGTGAGACTTGGGAAACCTGGCCCTTGTCAAGATAACACTTGTTGTCCACAGCACTCATTCTCAGCAGTTGAGGTCACCAATTCATGCAGAGCCTGAGGTGGGATTTGAACCCACAACCATACAGCTGTGATGCCTACATTTTTCTAGTTGAACCCCCTGGTCTGCTTAACACTGGCTTACAGATCCTGTTAAAGAAGAACGTTGAAAATTTCCACATACTGTACACTAAGCTAATCAATAAGCAATGTTACAGGCTTCCAGGAAGATCTGGAGTTCGTCAGTGTGTAGGCGGGTAGCTGACGTCCAGGAGAGTTCCTGCATCGAGCCTTAGTGTATGTGTCGTGGTTATTACATTTCATCTGAAGCGACACCCAGTCCCATGCTAAACGGACACGTCTCACTACACGATTTAGCCGTGCGATTATCACTTAGCGCTGGATGGCATTTCGCCTCTCTGGCCTAATTATCAGTCATCCCGTGTACGTGGCACAAACTCATTTGCAGAAACACTCGAGACAGCCCTCAGCTTAGTCTCTGATTGTCTATTCACCAGTAACCTTTCGCTCTGCCTTGCTGAGTGTCTATGCGCTCTGTTGCTCGTCATTCCTTCTTCATAATGAGACCCACCTGCAGGATTTCGCTCACGTTTTTACTCAAAGCTGATGGGATCAGACTTGTGCAGGCGGCCAGATTCTGATATAATTACCAAAATAAAAAAGATTACAGTGATTCTCTTTCATTGATCAGTAATTCCAGGCAAAACAAGCTATCATGGATGTGATCCTCTGAAATCCCCTGCATTATTCTGGCTGCTACACATGGGACACACCCCTAACACAGGAAGGGATCCGGAGCGTGGCTAACAGGCTGGAGTGCGCACCCCCACACCCATAACCTCTGGGTCAAAAGCCTGACGACCTACAGAATCTCACTCAAGGTGCAGTGATAAATAAAACAACCCAATGAAAGTCTTGATTGTCATTAAAAAGAATGTTGTCATCGAAATTAAATTACAACAAGGTCTCAAAATAAACATTTTCACTGAAATACAACCAATTTCTTACATCAGTAATTTTTATAGCAACAGTTTCAGAGCTGTCCTTAAAACTCACATCAGAAGCCTGAACCCAACTAATTATGTTTTATCAATTTATATCATTTACTTTTACACACCAATATAAATCAAATGAGGTTAATTCTTTTCTTATTGCCGTAATTATCGTTTCTTTAACTGGTCACTTCTTTTAAACCCTTTATTGCTAAAGATCTTCCTCTCACAGAAATGAATTTGCATTATTTCCAGCTAATTTCTGGCAGAATGTTAGATCACCAACACGATCCCTGTGTTTTTATCCCACCAAAAACATTTTAATTAATCGAATCTCTTTGTGAACAGGTAGGTGTTAGAATTCCCAGAAAGAAACTGAATATCATCAGACATGTTTGGCATGGGAATTCAAGGGAAATGCACTTCTTCATAAAAGCGAATTTGCTTCTTTCTTGCAGACAAAATAAGCCTAAACACCAGATTATCATGTATCAAATCTGAAGAAACTTACTAAATTTCATTGACTACGATCTAGGTTTTAAGATGCAAAACACACATTTACAGCCATTATTAATTTCATTCAGCTTTAAAATGCAAATATATTCATCTAGGTGCTAATAATGTGCTGCTCATTCCAAATATATATCAGAATTCATAATAACATTGTCAGCTTCGGAGGTGAACGCGAGCACGGAAGCAGGCGAACGAAGCCAAAAGGTCCGGTGAAGGGTTTATTAAAGGCAAAAGGACAGGTGCAGACAACGACGGACCATACAACGATGACAGATCTGGGGAAACAGACTGAGACTCGGACTAAATACACAGGACTAGGTAACAGAACGAGCTACAGGTGGGAACAATTAGGGCGAAACAGGAGGTAATGAGGTGGGCGTGGCACACATCGGGAGCGGACGGAGCGGGGCGTGACAAGTTACTTCAATGTTTCCAT